TCTATGCTCCATAATTATACAGTTATGTCCCCTTCTACGGCAACCAGTACTAGTAGAGTAATTTCTTCAATTGTGACAACATTCTCTACTACAACAAGCAGTGGAACATGTTCTTCTGTTGTGACCATACCCTATACTACAACAGGTACTAAGTCTCTCTTTATACTACATGCAAAGATATGGTATTAAAAACTTTAGTTATTTCTACTGTCGGTCAATTTTGTTCAAGCACAGATGCAGTGTGTTCCACTAATGATGCAGCTCAAAGTTATAGTGAACTGCGAACTATTTCAAGTGGTAAGCATAGTATTACTCTATTGGAGCTATTTTTATTCAATGAATATAGTGTTGCTCAGTATATTAGGAGTGTTCCTTTTGCTGTCAATAGTGCTTTACATTGTGACAGTGACCCTGTATTGTTACATGAGGAATAGAAAATTCAAATAATGTATGTTATGATTAAAATGAATAAATTATTTAACTTATACAATCACATAGGTTATAAACCTGTACCAGCAGTGCTATCAATGAAAGAATGTGCTGCTACTGATATTGATGAGGAATCAAAATAATGTACTATATAATTAATGTAGAATGTATATGTAGTTGATTTCAGTGACACTTTGAAACTCTGTTATTATGTAGTTCACGTATCGTTCTTCATCCAAAAGCTGCAATTAATTTAAAGTTAAAAGTATTGAAAATAAAGAAAGATACCAAAGCTGAAAGCAAAAAATAAGAATAAGAGAAGATAAGAGAGTAATCACAATATTGGTTAGATTACAATACACAAAATAATAGAAGACTAACTAAAAGGCAGCCAGTAATAATTAGAATATCAAAAATACAACAATTAATCAAATCTTCATCTTTTTCAATGACTCTATTACTTGAGCCATAGTAGGACGAGCTCTAGGACTAGCATTAAGTCCTCTTTGTATGAGAGACTTCATATCAGACCAGGAGACACTACCAGATTGTACTTCTCTCTCTGCTGTCGTCATTTCTGGGGGAGAGTACAAATTCATTTCCATAAGGAGAACAGAGTAACTGTAGACATCCATTGCTGGACTGTGTTGATCAGGAATAGGAGCTTCTGGTGCAGCATATGCAACATTGCCTGGCATAATAGTACCAGTACTGTCAACTTGTACTAATTTTGCTGTACCATAATCTGCTACTTTAGCTTCATAACCAGCAGGTCCAGTGCAAGGCTTTAATAACACGTTAGGACTGCTCACATCTCTGTGAATAATAGGCTGAGGCTTAAACAGGTGAAGGTAGTTGAGGCCTAAAGCTACATCTTGAGCAATACTCAGAATCTGTTGATTGGTTAATCGGTTTCTGCGAAGCTCCTGATTAAGACTAGTGCTCATCAGCTCGGTCAAGATGAGAGGATTACCCACTTTAGTTGCACCAATAAACTGGACCAGGTTAGGATGACGTACTCGTGATGCTATACTCATTTCCCTGGAGAAGAGAGCTAAATTAAAATCGGAGATGATGATAGTATGAAGTGACTTGACAGCTACTCTTAAACCTCTAAAGATACCAACTTTAACGACAGCATAAGATCCTCTTCCTAACTCCTCCTTTGTCAAAGTCACCTCATCTTTATTAATAACCCAGTGATCATCAGTGAGTGCTTGTTGCTGGTACCTACGAACTACTTCTTGAGACTGACGTAGCTCCCTATCCTTCTCCTGTAGCTCCCTATCCTTCTCCTGTAGCTCTCTATCCTTCTCATGTAGCTCCCAATTCTTTTCCTGCACCTCCCTATCCTTCTGCCATAGTGCCTCCTGATTCTCCTGCAGTACCACCTGATGGTCCCTATCTTTCTCAAGTATTACAATATCCTGTTGTCGTAACTTCTCCTCATTCTCCTGTAGCTCCGTATCCTTCTCCTGTAACTCCTTATGCTTCTCCTGTAGCTCCCTATCCTTCTCATGTAGCTCCCAATTCTTTTCCTGCACCTCCCTATCCTTCTGCCATAGTGCCTCCTGATTCTCCTGCAGTACCACCTGATGGTCCCTATCTTTCTCAAGTATTACAATATCCTGTTGTTGTAACTTCTCCTCATTCTCCTGTAGCTCCCTATCCTTCTCCTGTAACTCCTTATGCTTCTCCTGTAGCTCCCTATCCTTCTCCTGTAGCTCCCAATTCTTTTCCTGCACCTCCCTATTCTTCTGTCGTAATGCTTCTTGATTTTCTTGCAGTGCCACCTGATACTCCCTATCCTTCTCCTGTAGCTGATGACAATATCTTCTTATTTCTTGTTCTTTCTCTGCTTCTTCTCTTTCCTTATGCTCCAATTGTTGTCGATAAACTTGTGCTTCTTTCTCCTTCTCTTCAAGACTCTTCATAAAAGCCTGTATAGTTTGCTCAATATCGGCTGTATCTCCTTTTCTTGGTTTCTGGTACTCCTCCAACCATATTCTTCTTACTATCTGTAGTTGCTGCTGATACTTCTTCTTGTATTCTTCATTATTCATACCAATGGTATCTAATATATCACCTACTGTCCACTCTCCTTTACTGTTAGTAACTAAAATACAATATTAATAATAATTTTAATTACAGAGTGTGGATCTAATGCAACATTAAGATAAAAGGAAATAATTATAATTAGGTAATTATTCATTGGTGGTTGTGGCTGTACATTGCATGTCTACTGACCTAGTTCAGTTAACATAACAGTTTTAGGATTCGCAACAAAATAACCTCCAGCAGTTATCATCCAGACACAATGAGGACTCATAATGAACACTGAAAGAGAATGACCAAATCTTTTACTAACAGAGTGAGGTACATCTAACTGCCAAAAGAAATAAATTAATGATTTATGTATCTCACTGTACAGATCACATACCTTTATCCAGGAATGTTGAGTGATGTTAAAAATCCAATAATCATCTAACGTATCATTATTCTTATCTGCCCCACCACTTATCACTAGCATAGGACAGTCTGATCCAGTTATAATAATAGCACCTGCATGACCATATCTACCCACAGGCCATTGGTCTATTGCTTTAGCTTCCTTTATACACTGCCAGAACTAAAAATAAAAAAACCACACCCATTAACAATGATGTGTGTGCTGTGCATACATTCAGTACACATAATTAAATTTTAACTTACCACAGTGCTGACTGAGATCTCTAATATATAAACATTATTAGTAACAGTAGTCTTATCATCATCATCAGTCTCTACTCCGCCAAACAGAACAGCTCTAGTGTTGTTGATCTTTTCAATGATGAAATCGTTAGCAGGTGTGATATACTGACCAATAATTAAAGGATTATTCCATTTTCCTAAAGCATTATTATTATTATCAACATAATTTCAAACAGAACATAAAATTTTACTTGATGATAGACTATATATTGAGTGCTCATTAGTACGCCAGTTTCCACTAGATAACTCAATATATTTGTAATGAGGTAGTTGTACAGCTGGTTTAGGTCCATACCCTCCTATCATTAGTAAATGGTATACTCCATCATGTTCAAATGATATGATCCCACCACTACCTCTCCTCATAACTGGTCTAGTTGCATCAGTTGGCTCTAATTCTCTCCATTGAAGACTAACGATATCCAGTTGTGTAATACTGTTGTGATAGCAGTCATCATGGCCACACCATCCCCCAAAATAATACAATTGATTATTTATTGCAGTACAGCAGTATGATCTCACTCCTAATGGAGGAGTACCAGTAGTACTTCTAGTGATCCATTGACCAGTTGAGGGAGTAAAGTGCTCTATATTACTAGTAATCCTTCTCTTCTCTTTACTATCATGTACTCCAGGTAAACCATCCTGATGACCACCCCACACATACAGTGAATCATCTACTGATACAGTGGTGTGAAAAACTCTTTTATTCAGTTGATCTATATATCAATGATTGACAATACATGATTATGATACTGGAAGAGCAACATTAGAACTTACTTTTAGAACCAAACAGCAACCTAGCCATTAGGCCCGCCCTTGAGGGGCAACTCCCACTTAGTGAGTTTTGCGTTGTTTATGTAGAGTCTACTAGATCTAGGTGTGGCTCGATGAAGACAAAATGAGTAAACGTACTCTATTTTCTATGAGTAAACTACTCTATATTACTCCTATGCTTGCCAATCATATTCATACCATTATATTGTATTTACATAGACACTTACTGAGCTCAATGAAGACTAAATTATAAACTGCCATGACTGATATTTTTGAAAGATATATATATATCACTGATGGAAAAGTCCTTTATGATATGCATCAAAATATTTGAGCTGGTATTAATGACAATTAGCATTCCTTCCTTTAACCAGAGATAATGAATACTACGTTATGTAGTATTAATTATCTTATGCTTTAACCTATTCTATTTTAAAAATACTTACTTGTGGCTCCAGTGTCATGAATTCTGTATAGCAATGCTTGTTATTTCTACTTAATGTATTTAGTTAATGATGATGCATTAATAACATCAGCTAATTCCAACTAAAATTATTCAAGGTACAACCATTTTTGAAAATTTTTGGAAAAGCAAGACTATAATAATAGTTGATAGTTTTTTTCAAATAGCAGCTCCAAAATCATCCCAATTTTCATGATATTTTCTGCCTGATGTACTTATGCTGCATGAAAAAGTTTAAAGTAATTCCTGCTAAAATTTTATGGTATTTTTTAAATTAGCAAATTTTAGAAAAAAGCAAAAATTTTTTCCTAAAAATGGCCCTGAAATCACCCCTAATTTTTATTACATTTTTTGATACATATATACTGTGATCATGGAGCCCCTTGGAAAAGAAGGATGTACTCATGATTCCTGCTAAAACAGCATGTCCGCCTGGATCATGGACAATGGAATGCAGTGATTTCTTGGTTTATATGAGCACCATGATAATAGAAATAATAAATTATTTTAATGTATTGATCTTAATAGGGAAAAGGTCCCAGGGACTGGAGGACACCGAAATTCAGCCTCCTTTTATTATGTGCGTGCTTTTTGTGAAGGATTGATGTGTCCTCCATTCATTGATGCTAAGGATTTGGCTTGTGTTGTGTGCTCTAAATAAAGCGATGGCAATAATGGAACATTTTTATAAACAATAAAATTAGGACTTTTTGGAAAATTATTTTAGATTTTTTATTGTAAACAGTTCAATTTTTTGCTGTTGCTAATAATAATACATCAAAATAACGAGCAGCAAAAATCAAGAGCACATAATAATGCACATAAGCTTTCAGCATTATTTAGTTACCAATTGAGGTGTGTGGGCGTTCCTCTGTGTATAAAAACGTTTACTTCAGCTCTTTTGCTTTGAGAAGCTGTGATCTCCGTCCTTCGTTAGACAATGATCTCCTTCTGTTATTCCCTCATTCTGTCCTTCCTCTCATTATCTGTTACAGTAGCTACTGCCCAGCAAAACATTAGTGTTGCTCCAGGAGATGCTGACCCTTATTGTTTGGATATACCAATAAGAAATGTCACTTTTCCTAATGAAAAAATTCTACTGGACTCACAGAATTACAGGTCGCTTCTTCTTGTTGGAGCTGAAGGAGAAAATAGGACTTGGCTGACCATTGATTATGATGGAGGGGGATCTGGTCGAGGTGAAGTTGCTTTTGCCGATGCTGTAAGATTATCATTTATTATTATTGGTATTATTTGTTATTATCTAATCTTGTAGTGGTTTGAAAGCAATCAAGGAGTACAGTGCTTGTATCGAATCAACGTTTGTGCTAATCTGATCCCTGAAGGATCATCTTCATTCCAGAGCAATTGGTTGATAACACAATACATTAATATTAGTGAACCAGGATTGAACCAATTAAGAATTAACATAACATTCTCATCAAATTTGCAGTGTGAAAACCAGCAATGTGGCCAGCAGACATTTGAAGTGCAGACATATGAAACTAATGAACCAGATGAAATGAACAGAGGAAATATCAGTTATTATTCATATGCTGGTGTTCGTCTGATACAAACTGCTGTTGAAGGAGCTACAACTGACTCAGAGACATTTGCTGTATCTAGTTCTGGTCTGTATCTGGCTATATGGGACCAATTGATCTTGTACTGTCATTAATCGGATTGTTGTATTCTACAATGTCTGCCCTTATCAAATATTGAATAAAGCTATCTATCCAGAGACAGTAGCTCCCCAAGGGAATTTTGATCCAGACAAAAATGTGAATGCTACTTGCATTGATAATGCCAGTCCTGCAACACCAAATAGTGTAAGTATAAAGTGTAGGTTATTAGGAGTGTGGATTGGATCAGCTTCATGTGAATGTAATCCTGGATATGAGGCTAATGATACAGCTTGTCAAGGTCAGTGTAATCACTTTTATTCAGTACTAAACAATTTGCAAGCTAGAATAGTGTCCAGTCCCTTCTATTAAAGGAAGCCTTTGAGTTCCCTTGTCTATTAGCCCTCCCTAATCAAGAGTAAATATGTATCTACTCTTGATATAATAAATCTTATTTATGATCAATTGTTTGCTCTAGCACACTTATTAAATGCATGAGCCTGTTGCCCTGACTATCCATGCATAGGGATTAATTCCTAATAGAATACTGTACTTTCATAGTCTTAATTTGCACCAGCAAATCAGCATTTTGTGCTCTTGTCACCATTCATTAAATCAATCCACTCTGAAACTGAAATTTGATGGACCACTCTTTAGGCCTTAGAATACTAATATTAATATTCCATTATTTTATATTTAATATCTAATTTTCTATATTAAATATTCTGATATCTTTAATTGTTTACTCTATATAGCATGTCCTGCTGGCCCGTACAAATATGACACTGACACTGACTGCAGTGATTGTCCTGCTAACAGTGACTCAGTGCATATTGGATCTTCCTACTGTCAGTGCAGTAACGGACACTATAGAGCAGCTTATGAAACTGTCAATATGGATTGCACTGGTAAGGTTTTATAATAACATCATGCTTTATCAAGAGTACATTATCTTGATTATATGCATGCAAAATTCTCCTTTATTTATATTCTGTCTCACAGTATTCTTATATAATTCTTTCCCTCCCTCTCTTATTCTCCAGCACCTCCTGGCCCCCCACATTCTTTTTCCTTTTCATTCACTTCCACTAGTATTAATATTACATGGGGTCCTCCAATCAACAATGGAAACCGTTCAGATATATTTTACCATGTTAAAGTAATGGACCAATCTAATGGGAACTTTGTCAATTTTTACAATACAAGTAACACCTTCTACCAACTAACAGGTCTCACTCCATTGACTACTTACACTATAACCATCACATCAAACAATGGTGTCTCAGATCAGGACATGTCAAATGAATTAGGGAGACAGGTCTCAATTAACGTGAAAACAACATCTTCTCCGCCCTCAAGCCCTCAATCACTCATATTACAAAGTTCACCAACTGGTCAACCTACTGTACTAACATGGAGTGAACCACAGTATCCTTATGGTGTTATCATTTGCTATAATATATTAGTGAGTAAGTTCCTTGATTCTGATACTGCTATTGTTAGAGGCAGTGTTAATGGTACCACACTTCGATATGATTTGAATCAAATTGATCTTGTCTCTGGCCACTATTTTATTTCGGTAGGTACATCTATATAAATCTTCTCATTCTGTCTTTCATCCTTCTCTATTCTATTTTTTCTCTACTGAATGGTAATTATGTTCATTATTATACCAATATAGGTACAAGCAGTGACAATTCATGGAGAAAGTGACCTATCACCTCCCATTCTATACTTCATGGGTAAACCATACACACACACAAACATACTGACACAAACCCAAACACATATTATTTTGAATGATTGTTTTGATGATAGAGCATAAAGCATGTATTCTTGTTTAAGAAATAAATGGAGTACAAGCAGAACAATGCAAATTATTATAATGACTATTATTTAAACAAAGCCATGGCTGGACTATTCATCCTATTCTATATGCTTCATAATTCATGCAGTTATATTTTCCTATACAGCAACCAGTACTAGAGCAAGTTCTTCAATTGTGACAACACTCTCTACTACAACAAGTAGTGGAACATGTCCCTCTGTTGTGACCATACCCTATACTACAACAGGTACATAAGTCTCTCTTTATACTACATGCAATGATATGGTATTAAAAACTTTAGTTATTTCTACTGTCGGTCAAGTTTGTTCAAGCACAGCTGCAGTGTGTTCCACTAATAATGTAGCTGAAAGTTATAGTGAACTGCGAATTATTTCAAGTGGTAAGCATGGTATTACTTTATTGGAGCTATTTTTATTCAATGAATACAGTGTTGTTCAGTATATTAGGAGTGTTCCTTTTGCTGTCAATAGTGCTTCACATTGTGTCAGTGACCCTGTATTGTTACATGAGGAATAGAAAAATTAAAGAAAGTATGTTATGATAAAATAAAATAAATTATTTCATTAATCACACCCTATAGGTTATAAATCTGTACCAGCAGTGCTTTCAATGAAAAAATGTGCTGCTACTGATATTGATGAGGAATCAAAATAATGTATTGTATAATTAATGTAGAATGTATATGTAGTTGATATCAGTGACACTTTTAAACTGCTATTGTGTAATTCACTCAACATTGTTCATCCAAAAGCTGCAATTTTGTATTTGTGACCATAATTGACAAAAGGTACCTTATGGTGGGTAGTGAAATTTGTCTTTCTAGCCTAAGAAATCCAACTTCCTGAGCCCCATTTATCATAAAATTACTCCACAGGATGCAAAAAGTTACCATGAAACTTTTAGAAACAATGATTGTCTAACAAAGCACTCACAGATTGATATTTTCCATTATATATGATCAATTTTAAAATCCGCCATAAGGGCCCTTTTGTCAATTATGGTCACATTTAAACTTAAAAGTATTAAATTTTATAAAAAACAAAGAAATCAAAGCTGAAAGCAAACAAAAATAAGAATAACTGAAGACAAGAGAGTAATCAAAATATTGGTTAGATTAAAACACACAAAATAATAAAAAATAACTAAAAGGCAGAAGCAATAATTAGAGCATCAAAATACAAACCATTTTAATCAAATCTTCATCCTTTTCAATGACTCTATTACTTGAGCCATAGTAGGACGAGCTCTAGGATCAGCATTAAGTCCTCTTTGTATGAGAGACTTCATATCAGACCAGGAGATACTACCAGCTTGTACTTCTCTCTCTGCTGTTGTCATTTCTGGGGGAGAGTACAACGTCATTTCCATAAGGAGAACAGAGCAACTGTAGACATCCATTGCTGGACTGTGTTGATCAGGATCACGAGCTTCTGGCGCAGCATATGCAACATTGCCTGGCATAATAGTACCAGTACTGTCAACTTGTACTAACTTAGCTGTACCATAATCTGCTACTTTAGCTTCATAACCAGCAGGTCCAGTGCAAGGCTTTAATAATACGTTAGGACTGCTAACATCTCTGTGAATAATAGGCTGAGGCTTAAACAGGTGAAGGTAGTTGAGACCTAAAGCTACATCCTGAGCAATACTCAGAATTTGTTGATTGGTAAATTGTTTTCTGCGAAGCTCCTGATTAAGACTAGTGCTCATCAGCTCGGTCAAGATGAGAGGATTACCCACTTTAGTTGCACCAATAAACTGGACCAGGTTAGGATGACGTACTCGTGATGCTATACTCATTTCCCTGGAAAAGAGAGCTAAATTAAAATCTGAGATGATGATAGTATGAAGTGACTTGACAGCTACTCTTAAACCTCTAAAGATACCAACTGTAACAACAGCATAAGATCCTCTTCCTAACTCCTCCTTAGTCAAAGTCACCTCATCTTTATTAATAACCCAGTGATCATCAGTAAATGCTTGTTGCTGATACATATGAACTACCTCTTGAGACTGATGTAGCTCCCTATCCTTCTCCTGTAGCTCCCTGTCCTTCTCAAGAATCACAATATCCTTTTGTCGTACTGTTTCTTGATTTTCTTGTAGCTCCCTATCCTTCTGTCTTAGTGCCTCCTGATTCTCCTGCAGTACTGCCTGATGTTCCCTATCCTTCTCTTGTAGCTCCCTATCCTTCTCCTTTATTACCTTCTGATGCTCTTCATTCTTTTGTAATATCAATAGATCCTTCTCCTGCAGTACCACCTGATGCTCTCTATCCTTCTCTTGTAGCTGATGACGATATCTTCTTATTTCTTGCTCTTTCTCTGCTTCTTCTCTTTCCTTCTGCTCCAGTTGTTGACGATAAACTTGTGCTTCTCTCTTCTTCTCTTTAAGACTCTTCATAAGAGCTTGTACGGTTTGCTCAATATTGGCTGTATCTCCTTTTCTTGGTTTCTGGTACTCCTCCAACCATATTCTTCTTCCTGTCTGTAGTTGCTGCTGATACTTCTTCTTGTATTCTTCATTATTCATACCATTGGTATCTAATGTATCACCTACTGTCCACTCTTCTTTACTGTTAGTAACTAAAATATATATTAATAACAATAATTTTAGAAATAATTATAATTAATCATAATAATTTATGATTATAATTAGGTAATAATAGTATTTATTGGTGAGTGTGGCTAATACACTGACCTAGTTCAGTTAACGTAACAATGTTAGGATTAGTGACAAATGTTAATCTATTATCAACATATCCTCCAGCAGCTATTATCCAGACACAATGAGGACTCATAATGAACACAGAGAGAGAATGACCAAATCTCTTACTAACAGAGTGAGGTACAGCTAACTATTAATAGAATTAAATAATATTTTACATGTATCTCACTGTACAGATCAATTATTAATAATATCTAACATACCTTTATCCAGGAATGTTGAGTGATGTTAAAGATCCAACAATCATCTAATGTATCATTATTCTTATCCACCCCACCACTTATCACTAGCATAGGACAGTCTGATCTAGTTATAATAATAGCACCTGCATGACGGTTTCTACCCACAGGCCATTGGTCTATTGCCTCAGGTTTCTTTATACACTGCCAGAACTAAAAATAAAATAACCACACCTAACAATGACATTAATGTGTGTGCGTGTGTGTGTGTGTGTGTGTGATGTATACATTCAGTACACATAACAACATACCACAGTGCTGATTGATATCTCTAATATATAAATATTGTTAGTATAAGTATCCTTAGCATCATCATCAGTCTCTCGTCCACCAAACAAAACAGTTCTAGTGTTGTTGATCTTTTCAATGATAAAGGTGCTAGAAGGTGGTATACATTGACCAATGACTGAAGGATTGTTCCATTTTCCTAAATCAACATAATTTCAAACAGTAATATAAAATTTTACTTGATGATAGATTATACATTGAGTGTTCATTAGTTCGCCAGTTTCCACTAGGTAGCATAATATATTTATGATGAGGTAGTTGTACAGATGGTTTAGATCCATACCCTCCTATCATTAGTAAATGGTGTACTCCTTCAAGTTCAAATGATATCATTCCACCCCAGCCTCTCCTCATGACTGGTCTAGTTGCATCAGTTAGTTCTAATTCTTTCCATTGAAAACTAACAGTATCCAGTTGTGTAATACTGTTGTGATAGCAGGCGCCATGGCCACACCATCCCCCGAAATAATACAATTGATCATGTATTGCAGTACAGCAGTAGTCTCTCACTCCTAATGGAGGAGTACCAGTAGTACCTCTAGTGATCCATTGGCCTGTTGAAGGAGTAAAGTGCTGCATATTACTAGTGATCCTTCTCTTCTCTTCACTATCATGTACGAGTACTTCAGGTAAAGTTAAACCATCCTGTCTACCAGCCCACACAAACAGTGAATCACCTACTGAGACAGTGCGGTGAGCAGCTCTTTTATTCAGTTGATCTATTATAAACGATTGACAGTACATGATACAGGAATAGTAACATTAGTACTTACTTTTAGAACCAAACAACCAAGCCATCAGGCCTGGGCCCTGCAGCTTGCTGGCCAGAAAGTTATAACCAACAGTCCAGGACCAACACCAACAGTACCAGCACAGTGAGCAACTGAGCACCACTTTAAGTCACGTGATTTATAATGAGTAGGCGTTGCTTGTAGTGGTAGGTAGGTGAAGCAGATCTGCTATTCCTGTATTTGCTTATTGTAGTGTATTTGTATAGAAGCTTGCTGAGCTCAATGAAGACAACAGTAAAAAATATCATGGCAGAAATCCTTCATGATAACGCATAAAATAATTGAGCTGGAATTAATGATTAGCCTTTCTTCCTTTAACCGGTTGTTGTATTTGTTAGGTTCTTACTTGTGGCTCCAGGGGATTCTGTATAGCAATATTTGCTATTGCTATTAATGTATTAGAATTTGATGCGGCTAAAGTAAGAATTATGTTTATGATTGTGCTAATTCTGATTATGATATTATGCATTATGCTATCACGTACCATTTACTAGTTTTAAAACCATGTGTTTTTCATTGATTCTCACTTGCTTAGTCTATCTGCATCATGTGTCACTTCTTAATCCCTTGTACGGTAAAGTTGTACCTAAATGATGCTGTAAATACTTCAGGCATTTAGTAGATCAGTCCTTATAGCCTAAATTTAGTTGATGATGATCCACTAATAATATCAGCTGATTCCAACTAAAAAATATTCAAGTTACACCCATTTAAAAAATTTTTGTAGAAAGCAAGACTATGATATAGTAGTCCATGTTTTTTCAAAAAATGACTCCAAATTATCTCATTTCTCAATACATTTTCTGATACATATTGATGTACTTATTATGCTGTGTAGAAAGTTGAATGATTCCGACTCAATCTTTTCAATCAATCTATGGTCATTTTTTAAATTCAGCAAATTTTATAGCCTTTTTTAAAAAAATAATTTTCTGGGAAAAGTAGACTATAGTCCATTGCTTTTCTCAAAAATGGCTTCGAAATCATCCCTAGTTTTTATTATATTTTGTCCATGATATCATAAGTGTGTTTATTGTGAGTTTGACATTAAATTAAATTAAGGTCTTTTAAAAGGCACTTGTGCAAGAAAAAGCTTAATAGACAAAATAACCTACTGAATACAGTAACTTTCGACTATTTTGCAAACTGAGACTCTATAGAGTAACAAAAAGCGGCATGTGGGCATTTAGCTTAGCAGAAGTTTTTTTCAGTTCACTAATAAAACAAAAAAGTAATTTTTACTAACAATAAAACTAAACTTTTTGTTCAAAAAGTTAGATTAATAAATTGTCGAGGCCATAGACTAGATTGTATTTACTGAAGGATTTGCTGTTTCTTCTTTGACGTCATCTCTTTTGCAGACTTTGCAATATGAGTGTATTGGACACAGTATTTGTTTTAAGTGATCATTGACTGGCTTCAGAAAGATTGCTATTGCAACAGGAAAAAGTAGTATTGACAAAAATTGTACGATTAGTGACACATAAAATATAGAGTAGTGAACAATTGGTGATAGATTGTCATCCTTTCTGAAGATAGTAAAATTTAAAGCTATTTGAAAGAGTGCACAAAATTCATAAACACCATAAACTACCATGATTTTTGTCATAGCTTTCTTCAGAGGGTTAGGCCATCTGAGTTTTTTGTTGTGATTTAATTATTTTTGACAAAAATGTAGCTGCAAGTGCTAAGAGTCACCACAAAAGTGATGCTGATTATAATGAGCAGAGCATCAATAGTGTTGCTGGTAAGATACGCTTGATTTAACAATAGTAGGCAAAAACCACAAATGAATGTTATTTTCCTTATTGTTTAAACTTAAAATAATACGATACATAAACAATAAGAACCCAGGTGATAATGATGTAACTTACAATACCAATCTACTTTAGCTTTTTTACTTCATACTTAATAAAAATGTATACTGACACAAAAAAGGAGGCCTCCAAATGCATTTCCAAGGTATGCTATATCATAAAATATAATTGGTAACAAGCACGAGACATTAATAGCATCATCATCATTTCCTTTAAGTAAATAAATGCGTACAGGATAGCCCATGTCATAGAATAGTGCAGTTAGAACATAGAATATATTTGGGATGAGGATATTGATGAGAACCACTCTCATTTTCTAGTTGGCATTTTATCAGTCAGCAGTGCCACTTTGAATGTGAGACTTTTTGTCAACAGAGGGATTTCAATTAGTGCAAAGATCGAGATGTGTATAGCTGAATGGATGGCACCAAATGATTCTGGAATTTCAGTACTATTGTTCATAGTTTTGTGAATTACAGTAGTAGCCAGTGAAGTAGTGAAGAAAATTGTACAAATAAAGTATTGTATAGTTTCATTGGCTATGCGTTTTAAATTCTTGTGCTGTGTTTATTTAAAAACTCAGTTTACACCACTGATTTAGTGTCTAGTTTAGATAGTCCGTGTCATTGAAGTTTTGTTCATTAACTGTTACTGTTTTTGTAATAATAGTATTGAGAAGGTTTTATTAGATTTTGACTACGTATACTAACGCACACTACAGCATCATATTATTTATCTGTGGATAATGATGACATCATTCCTTTGATGTAGTGGGTCCTATATTTTGTATAATAGACCTGCTATGCATAAATGCTGTCATCATTATGCAACGTATCATACATAGTATACTAGAACAATCTCATATACAGTGAGGTTTATGTCCTTGGATGTTATATAGCCCTTGGGCCTATGATCATTGAGCTATATCCCATCCTCGGACACAAACCTCAGGTCCTATATTCTGTGTATGTAACTTACTAGTATACCATATACCGTAATAGAATAACTTATTTTGAGTTTATATAATTGTATTGTGGCTATTGAGTCTTGGCAAGAGCTTATTTGAAAGAGCTCAATTTAATATTAATAGACAAAATAGCCCACTGAATACTGGTAACTCTCATTATTTTGCAAACTGAGGCTCTATAGTATTAATTGCAGTAACATCATGTTTGGTCAAAAAGTGGCATGTGGGCATGTAGCTAGCACAAGTTTTATTTCAGCTAACTACTAAACAAAACAAAAATAAATTCTGACTAAACATAAAACTAACAATAAAACTAAACTTTTTGTTCATAAAATTAGGTCACTAAATTGTTCAGGCTACATAGACTGAATTGTATTTACTTAAGGATTTTCCGCTCCTTCTTCAGTGTCATCTCTTTTGCAAACTTTGCAGTATGAGTGTAGTGGACACAGTACTTTGAAGATTTGTTTCAGGTGATCATTGACTGGTTTCATGAAGATTGCTATTGCTACAGGAAGAAGTAGTATTATCAATTTTGGTATAATGAGTAAAATATAGTATATAACATATTGAATGATTGGTGATATGTCACCAAAGTCTATGAAAGAAGTGAAATTTCTAGTAAGTAGAATGAGTACACAAAATTCATAAACACCATAAACTACCATGACTTTTGTCATAGCTTTCTTGAGAGGGTTAGGCCCATCTGAGGTTTCTGGTGCAATTTGATTCTTTTTGACAAAAATGAAATTGCAAGTGCTAAAAATGACCACAAAAGTGATGTTGAGCAGAATGAGCAGAACATCAATAGTGATGATGACAATAAATACTTGAGTTGTTGGAATCATGCAAAAACCACCAATGGATTTTACTCCTAAAGCGTTTAAATTTAAAACAATTGAAATAATACGATACAGCAAGATAAGAACCCAGGTGGTAGCAATGTAACTTATGATACCGATCCACTTTAACTTTTTTACTCCATACTTAGTGAAAATGTATACCGACACAGAGAAGAGTACTCCTCCAAATGCATTTCCAAGAAAAGCTATACTGTAAAGCACAAGGAATATCAGGCAAGATACATCAAGAGCATCAGTATCATTCCCTTTGATTAAATAAACACGTACAGGATAGCCCAAGATATAGAAAATTTGAGATAGAAAATAGATAATATCTGGTGCTAGGATGTTGATGAGAACCACTTTCATCTTCAAGTTGACATCTTTAGCAGTCAGCAGTGCCACTATGGACATACCAGTCACTGTAACCAGAGGAACTGAAAGTACTGCAAAGATCAGGACATGTATAGCTGAATGAATGGCACGAAATGATTCTGGAAGTTCAGTACTGTTGTTCATAGTTGTAGACAAAATTATTTTTAGCAATAAAAAGTAATGGTAGATCTAGCTCATTTATATGAAGATACAACTATATGCCCAACCCTGCTTCTCATAAGAATGTTGAGTGACATCACCTTGTCAACACAGCACTACAAAGTGTACTGAAAACCTAATGTTATAACAGCTGCCTTATTTAGCATTTTTGTTTCATGTCAAATTAGTTGCTAGTTTTTTTGGCTGAACAACAAAATCATTGTAAAACATTAAAAAATTTTTAATTTACAAAACAAAACTAAATTCTGACTAAAAATAAAAGTAAACTAACAAATAACAATGAAACTAAACTTTTTTTGTTCATAAAATTAAGTCACTAAATTGTTCAGATTGTATTCACTAAGGACTTGTTGTTTCTTCTTCAACATCATCTCTTTTGCAGACTTTGCAGCATGAGTGTAGTGGACACAGTAATTTGAAGATTTGTTTCAGGCGATCATTGACTGGCTTCATGAAGATTGCTACTGAAATAGGAAAAATTAGTATTGACAAAAGTTGTATGATTAGTAAGACATAGTATATAACGCATCGAATGATTGGTGATGCATAATCTAATAAAAAGACATGTAAGCCTGACACGACTAGAAAGAGTGCACAAAATTCATGAACACCATAAACTACCATGACTTTTGTCATAGCCTTCTTCAGAGGGTTGGGTCCATCTGAGTTTTCTGTTCCGATTTGATTCTTTTTTACGAAAAAAAAGTTGCAAGTGCTAAAAATTACCACAAAAGTGATGTTGAGTATAATAAGCAGAGCATCAAAAATAAAGCTGGCAATAAACGTTTGATCTACTGGGAATATACAAAATCCACCAATGGATGTTATTGCTTTAACATCGTTTAAATTTAAAAGGATTGAAATAAGACGAAAGAGCAAGATAAGAACCCAGATGGTAGCAATGTAACTTACAATACCGATCCACTTTAAATTCTTTAAACCATACTTAGTGAAAATGTATACCGACACAGAAAAGAAGAGGCCTCCAAATGCATTTCCAAGGTTAGCTATACCGTAAAATAGGATTGGTAGGAAGCAAGATGCAGTAATAGCGGCATCATCATCATTTCCTTCAATTAAATAAACACGTACAGGATAACCCAAGTTATAGAGTAGTGCAGTAAGAGAATAGATTATATTTGGGATGAGGATATTAATAAGAACCACTCTCATTTTCCAGTTGACATCTTTAGCAGTCAGCAGTGCCACTATGAATGTGAAACTTATCGTAAACAGAGGGATTCCAATTACTGCAAAGATTGAGACATGCAAAGCTGAATGAATGGCACCAAATGATTCTGGAAGTTCCGTACTGTTGTTCATAGTTGTAGACAAAAAATTTTTTAACAATAAAGAAGTGATTGTAGATCCAGCTCTTTTATATGATACATGAACTGTAAGTCCAACCCTTTTTGCCATAAGAATGTTGAGTGACATCACCTTGTCAACATAGCACTACAAAATGTACTGAAAAGCTAATGTAATGTTAACAGCTACCTTATTTAGCATTTTTGCTTCATGTCAAATTAGTGGCTAGTTTTGTGTTTGAACAACAAAATCATTGTGAAATATTATTAGAAATTCAACATTTAATTTTTTCAATTTACAAAACAAAACTAAATCTGACTAACAATAAAACTAAACTTAATTAAACTTTTTGTTCATAGAATTAGGTCACTAAATTGTTCCAGCTATAGATCGTATTTACTGAGGATTTGCTGTTTCTTCTTCGACTTCATCTCTTTTACAAACTTTGCAGTATGAGTATAGTGGACACAGTACTTTGAAGATTTGTTTTAAGTGATCATTGACTGGCTTCATGAAGATTGCTATTGCAACAGGGAGAAGTAGTATTATAAAAGTTGGTATAATGAGTAAAATATAGTATTTAATGTGTTGAATGATTGGTGATATATCACCAAAATTTATGAAAGAAGAGAAGTTTATAGTAAGTAGAAAGAGTGCACAAAATTCATGAACACCATAAACTACCATAACTTTTGTCATAGCTTTCTTGAGGGGGTTAGGTCTGTCCGAGTTTTCTGTTGCAATTTGATTCTTTTTGACGAAAATGAAGTTGCAAGTGCTAAAAATGACCACAAAAGTGATGTTGAGCAGAACCAGCAGAACATCAATAGTGATGTTAACAATAAATGCTTGAGTTATGGGGAATATGCAAAAACCAGCAATGGATATTACTCCTAAAGTGTCTAAATTTAAAACAATTGGAATAATACGATACAGCAAGATAAGAACCCAGGTGGTAGCAATGTAACTTATGATACCGATCCACTTTAACTTTTTTACTCCATGCTTAGTGAAAATATATACGGACACAGAGAAGAGTACTCCTCCAAATGCATTTCCAAGGAAAGCTATACCATAAAGTATAATGGACATGAGGCAAGTAACATCAAGAGCATCAGTGTCATTTCCTTCAATTAAATAAACACGTACAGGATAGCCCAAGTCATAAAAAATTAAAGATATAAAGACAATTATATCTGGTACTAGGATGTTGATGAGAACCACTTTTATTTTCCAGTTGACATCTTTAGCAGTCAGCAGTGCCACTATGGACATACCAGTCACTGTAACCAGAGGGACTGGAAGAACAACAAAGATCAGGACATGTATAGCTGAATGAATAGCAAGAAATGACTCTGGAAATTCAGTACTGTTGTTCATAGCTGTAGAAAAGATTGTTTTTTTAGCATGATGGTTGCTTTAATCTACTTATATAGGATAAAAACTGTTAGCCCAACCCTCTATGACTAAATCCATGTGCATGCATAGTGTTTTATTGTTTTCATACATGGGTTAAGAGGGTTAGGCATATAAAGTCAATAATACTAGACTTACAATGACAACACAATGGTTAGAGTCCCATGATCCTATCACTGTTCTTCAATGCTGTGTTTTAATTATAAAACTGTTGCATTTTGCCCCTATGCTCTATATGGCCAGTTAGGCAAATGTCTGAGATACTGAATTGTTGTATATCTTATGTACCATGCATACATTTTCTCAAAAGGCCTAGATGATAGGCACTCCACATGATTAATGATGAATTTATCTTATTAAATTCAGCAGTCACTATGTATCTGTATATTTTTTAAGACAGTCTGTTTTGTTTTTCATTTGTGGTCTAAATATTTAAATATTATTGTTTGATAACAAATACATTAATTATATAAAAAAGTAGTGACTGTGGCAAGACAATCTAGTTAAAAGAGCCTATAATAGACAAAATAACTTGTTTACCTGTTGAAGTGTAGATATTTGAGAAACTTTAACATTGAAACTTTATAGTATTAACTGCTGTAAAAATTATTTGGGAACAAAAAGTAGCACACAAAAATTCAAGGGCATTCAACAGTTTTCCTGACAAATGGTCACTGAAACTCATATTTAACTATACTCATGTCTTTGAAGCTATTGTAAATTATATTTTAAATATCATACAAAACATATTAAACAAAAGCTTGCTAAGTTACCATTTATCATAGTTGTATTTTTATTTTTAAGGTGATTATTTGGTTCCCTATTGGTTAATTGGTTACAGTACTCACATCACAGGGAACAAGTATATAATGTTCACTTGCTGACCATTTGAAGAACATCAGAGAGTTACAAGCTTGTCACCTCATCTCTTCTCCTACTCTGAAAACAATCTATTACAAAGTGTGCATATAGTACTTCACATTTGACGAACTATTCATTTTTTACGGATACATCTGCATGCATGTTTTATGTTTTGTAAATGTTCGAGAAAGTCAAACAGCAAAAATACCAAGAAGGTTAAGTGCGAGTAAGAAAAGATGTATCAATCTTACATTAAGTGGATGTGTGTCTAATTTTCTTGTTTAAAAAAATTTAAATCCTGAATCAGTAAAACAATAATGCTAAACATAAGCATAATTATAAGCATCTTGAAAATACTAATTTAAGTTTTGATCAAATTTGGCTAAAAACCATGTGGACAATTTTGAAGCTAATTTTTGGAAATTTTGACGTGTTTTTAAAGTGCCCATTACTCAAAAAGCATTTGTTGTAATCAGCTCAAACATAGTATAAGGACATTTATACCTGAATCAGAAAAAGTAATAAAAATTTTGGGTGATTTTAGAGCATTTAAAAAAATACTCATAACTCAAAAATTATCTGTTGGAAACAACTCAAAAACTTTCTACATTTCATAAGAACTTCAATGCATATCAGAAAATGTAATAAAACTTTGGGGTAGTTTTAGAGCCATTTTTGGAAAAAATCCAAGGCTATATAATAGTCTTGGGTATTTTTCAGAAAATTAGAGTTCAAAAAGAATAGTCATAACTCAGAAAATTTAAATCGGACTTTGCTAAAACTTTCTACATAACATAAGAGCAGCAATGTGCATAAAAAAATTTAATAAAAATTAGGGGTGATTTGGAGCCATTTTTAGAAAGAGCCATGGGCTTGGATATTTTTCAGAGTTTTAGTGTTTTCGTAAAATGGCTGTAGCTTGAAAATTTGAAGTCGAAATCAGCTCAAATTTTCTGCATAGCATAAGGATATCAATATGTATTCAAAAATGTAATAAAATTTTGTGGTAAATTTTGAAACTCTTCTTAAAAAAACCATGGGCTATCATTTGCTTTTTTAAAAATTGGCATAGTTTTAATGCTCATTACTCAAAAGCTATCTGTCAGAGACTTCAACTTTTTACATAGCATATAAAGACATCAATTTGTATCAGAAAATGTAATAATTCAAAATATCGCTGTATAATTTCAAAATTTTGTTTTGTCAAACTCATGAGGCATTTTTGCTTAACAAAATTTTGCTTCACTAGGGTAGCATATAACAAACATCATAGAAATTTTACTGACAATAAATATTAATTTTAAAAAGAAATTAAGATTTTAAATTTTGAAAAACTTTTGACTGACAAAAATTTGAAGCATTATTTCCTGTCATCATAAAAAATTATATCTGGTTTAAATAACTTATACTTAGATTCATAAATAAGCATAACAAAATTAATAATATCATAATGAAAATATTATGTTTAAGACAGTTCTCTTGGAGAAATCTTAGTTTGCTTCATTTTTCTTATCTCCAATATCAAGACAACAATGATACCACTGAGAATTAACAAAGCAAAAACCACAACAAGGCATAGTATCACAACAACAATATCAAAGTGATCTATGAAGGAGAAAAATATTTAAATAATAGCAATAGATGATAATGTTAGAAATACCTTTAAAAGTATTGTTAGTATCATTTCCTTCAGTGCCTGCATTTTGGCCAGTACTACTCCGTTTAGTCAGTGAGTATACTACTTTAGGTGCTTCACTAGAAATTGGAGAGTTTTGCAGGGTGGAAATAGTTGTAGTAATAGTTGAGCAAGTTGTAATGGTAGCCAGTGAAGAGGAAGGTGAAGGGAATGGTGAAAATGGCGAAGGAGAAGGAGAAGCTATAATGGAGGAAGTTGGAGATGGTGAGCCTCTTTCAATTCTAATGATAACAGGCTCAATTGCATGAATGTCTGCCCATTCAGAATCAATGTAGCAACCAAAGATCCTACACTCTAGTGTATCCTTAGTATCATCTACTGTGAAGTTTTTTACACCAAATTTTACTTCAGACAATTCAACAAAGACTGTGGTTTTTCCCTGTGAAATTTAACAACAAAAATAAACTAACTATATACAAGTATATAGATGTGACATACTGTTGGTTTTGTTTCTTGTGGATAACATATTGTTTCAAGGTTGAGGTAGTCAACATAGTAGGTATCATGAGTGACCCACTTTACACTGTAACCAGTCTCTGTGCTAGTGGCAATGAGTGATATCTTTCCTTTATCATCTGGAAGGCCACCTATAGATTACAAGTCATTTTCATGCACTACAAAGAACAGTGATACTTACTAGGGCACCTGTATGTAGGGAAGGCATGAGTGCCTGCATGGAAGCTGAACAGAATGATCAAAATAGCAGCAAGTGAACCAAGTAGTTCCATGACTTTACTTCTTTATCTGTAGATGCTCTTTCACTCTTCATCTCCTTCACTTATATACTAGCTACTATGCTGGAAACCACATCACTATTATGACTTCAATTGCTTAATAAGGTAGTTCCAATTTCAAGTTACCTTATTGTGCTTCTTCTTTCATATGGAAGCAGTATAGGGGAAGTGAAGCATCATTGATGGTCTAAATTGTCACTGAAAAGTGCATGACTTTGCAGTTTGTAAGAGCATTATTATACTTGAAACAAAACGTATAACTTTAAAAATCAAATATAAATACAAAAGTGTAACAATACAGACATAAATAATGATAAAAAATATCAACTTGTTTCTTTGCATATAAAACGTATATACCCTTTCTCATCTACATACAATACATTAGTTAAATTGTCTCTGCTTGCCCCATCCTCAGTCTCATGATGACAATAGAAGTGAATTTTCTCACGAGATAAACTCTCGTTGCTCGAAACGGAGGAACCCAAGTCTTGCAAACCTTTTAGACTCTCACTAATGATCACTGGAGCACTACAAGTAGCTGGATCGCTTTGCTCATGGCTTTTGTTATCTTCCAGGCTTGGGGATCTACTAAAGCTTCTTAAATCAGTCACAAAGCATTCATCGACTTGGCTCTCGTCCACTTCAGGAACGTCCTTAAGTTTCTTAGTGTTAGTGGATTGAGCCTCCTCTAGGTCAGGGACAATACTGTCGTGATAGTCCTGAGATGGAGAGCAAGACGAGGCTGTTATCTGGCTTCCATACCCACTGCTACAAGCACTAGTTTCTTGCTCTACTGTGGCGTCATTTTTCACTTGATACGTAAACCCATTGGTATCAACTTGTACATGACAGTCAGGGATTTCATCATTAGTTGCTGGCAGAGGAGAAAAAGACAGAGTATGCTTAGAGCTAGTATCAGTCCAATCTTCCTTAAAGATGGTATTAATACTTTCATTATCTTTATCTGCTTCTGTCTCGTTTTCTTTGTTTCTCATAGCTTCGATTTGACACGATATTTCAAGCATTTCCACAGAGCCAGAAGACATGCTAGCCATAGCTGTGGTGCTGGTTGCATAAGACGGTGACTGTATCTCGGTTTTAATGGAAACGTTATCAGCCCCACTCCATTCCATTAGGAAATTGTACGACGAATTGTAGCCATTCTAAAATGAAAATAAAAGTATTCATGTAGACGTATGTTTTATCTGATTCTAAACATGCAGAACTCAAAGCAGACACTACCCTATTGCTTGAATTAGGGATAATAATTGAAGTAGCACATGGTCACTATGACACGCTATGATGCATAACTGTCTGGAAATAGCATTCCAATTCTCATAATCACATTACTATAGTTATAGTAGTAAAATAAACAAACAAGCAAGCAAAGCATGAGTGAACATGAGTGAACGTGTGCATGCCACTTCATAGGTTAAGTGACCAATTAGCCTCTATAACATAATTGATATAATACTTTGGTACAAGAAAGTTTGTCTGTTATACAGAGGTGTCCTTTATGTGGAGGTTATTTAATACATGCAGTAATGAATGTAATTGGTACACTAGGTGCTGTCTGTTATATGGAGGTGTATGCTATAGGGAGAGTCTATTAAGAGGAGGCTGTACTGTAATGGGTACTTAATTGTTTGTTTTGGGTTGTCAAATCATATTGTGTCTGTTGGACTAGCTTACGTGTGTCTCTTCGTTAAAAATTTCAAACATGAGCCTCTTCTTCCTCTGCCTCAGACACAACACAACAAACAGGAAGACCAATATAAAGACCAGGACTGATATCACAATGGAAAATACGACAGTCATTGACGTAATTAGTGGAGATGCTGCGCCACCTGTGATATGAAAAGGAACAGTTCCGAATGATATGATATTATTATTAAGCAATAGATATAAATCATATTTATTAATCATATTAAGCAATAGGACAATCATATTTAAATCATCTTGATTGTGTATACATCAAAGCATTATGCATGCAATTATACATACCACTTGTGGTTGATAGTGATGGAGCTAATGATGGAGTAGCAATGAGTATAGTGGAAGACCCAGTGCTAGGTTTATTACTTGAAGTAGAAGACTCAGTAATAGATGTAACTGAAGTGACTGGTGTTTGACTGCTTGATATAATGCCATCATCACCACTACTGGTTGTAGCAATATTGTGGTTACAAAACTCAGGAGGTGTAGGCTTATAAAAATAAGCACCTACAAAAAAGATTAAGTCATTACTGTGGTATACCGCATATTATGTTGCAATATTAGCATACACAGACACTGATATAAGCATACTTTGTATTGGGTGCCCACTGGCTATATGAACTGAGCTCTCATATGTTGTGTTGGCTTCATTGATGATTGCGGTAAATGAACATATGTAGTCATGAGATGGAAGGATGAATGACACAATCCCTTCCAGCTTGTTGGTAATATTTACAGTAGCCATATGCTGCAGGGAAAGAAATAATTATCATTATTGACGTGTCAATATGTCCTTCCTCATTCCCCAACTTCTTTTTCCTTTTCTAACTCTCCCCTTTCTCTCTCTCTCTCTTACTGATTTCACTTCATCTTTATAGCGACACTCTCCACTGATTTCAAGAGGCACATGTGTGCTTTCTGAAAATGGCGTTTCATTGCACACAATTTCCTTCTCAGCCCTCCAGTGAAGAGTCACAGTATCGTTGGATATATTTTGAAATATTTTCAAATGCAATCCTGATGAAAAGAAAAATTAAATACAATTAATGACGCTACGCACAAGAATAAAATTAATAGTAATACAGCTCTATATAATGTAGTGCTAAAGTATATGGAAGTAGTTTTTACCTTCATCTTCAGGGATAGTGTCAATCTTTACTTCACAGTGCCTTATTGGTACCTCTCTATAATAATTAAGCGGCGAATCCCCTTGACAGTCGCTGTCTGGAGTCCTGTAGTTCCCGTAAAACTGACAGACAGTTCCAGGTTGCAGAAAAGACATAAAACTGTCATTCCTATAGTTTGGCTCCATAAGTTCGAGTTCCTCAAACTTACTCTATACAAAATAGGATTTATTGGTATAATAGCATAGCTATAGGAATAAGTGTCTTACCATATGATTCATTCCTTTATAAAGGCAACTGGCTTTGAGACTCACATCACCAAAATTCTTAAAACTAGAAGGATTGTGTGGCTCCCACAGAACACTCATATTTCCTGTCTCACAATCAAATGTTAATGGTGGAGTATCTTGCAAGTAATCTATATAAAAGATAAAAAATGATATTACATTATTTCATGATGAGCAATATACATGTAGGTATCACTGTTGTTAGACTGTATTAGTTAATGTGCATTAGTCCTCCTTACATGGTATTTTGGTATCAATGCACTCGTAAGCAGCTTTCCTTCCTGTGAGTCTAACTCTGTAAACTAACACCTCAATTTGATAGACTCTAAATTCAAGCGCATCTCTCAATTGTAATCGTATGGTAGCAGAAGATGACCCATCCATTATATTTTTTGTTGATAATTGTTCATCTCCAAATATAGGATCAGCATAATACACATTCACATTATACACGAGTGAACTGACTCCTCCTCTTTGAACTGGTGGGGTCCATGATACATACAGCTCTTGCGTAATCTCATCCTGTACTTTGGGAGTGATTGTTATATCCCCAACTGGATTGGCAAGACCTATACGAGTGAAAGAATGTGCGTATTAATCCCAGGAATTCATGCATCATTAAAAATAATTACTAAACGGAAAAGTTTAAAGTACTAATTACGGGTAATATCATTGCTTTTGTTATCATTGTGCATACCTCTAACTAATACCCTGATCAGTACACTGTCCCTCCCAAATTCATTGACAGCAATGCACTGGTATACAGCAAAGCTTCCTTGAGTGCCGCTGCATATAGTTATTGACCTGCTGCTGTTTCCCAAGGCCTGGCCATTTCTGTACCATGTTATAGCAGGGGTTGGATACCCTCTAGGACTGCAATGAAGATCAAGGACTGACTCAGAGTCTGATATCAAAGGGTCGTAACGGTCCAGGTATACATCTTGAGATTTATTGTGATTCAGTATAACAGGAGAATCTAGTAGAAGAGATACAAGAGTCACATACTATAGTCTATCAACCAATCAATCCTATTTCACACTTTTATTCATAAACCCATTTACCTCCAATTATCACTTCAATACAAGCTGATGCTGATAAATTTCCTCTTTCACCCAGTATCACTTGACACATATAGAGACCAGAGTCTTCATAAGTCACATTGTCAATAATAAAGGTGGTATCCTCAGTAGTGCCTATCACAGTGAAATTGTTCCCACTATCTCCTTCTTTCCTATGGAGCCAAATAATCTCCTCAAACTCTTGTTGAGTAGTAATGCAATCAAGATGGAGGGCTTCTCCAGGCTTCAAGACTGTACGATTAGCTTTGATGGCTGTTAGTGGTTCAACCATAGCAACGAAACCTACTGATAATATGGTATAATGATAATTACTGGTAGTGCTTCAATATGATATAAGCCACAACAGAACCCTTAATATTGAGGTTGTACAAGAAGCATTTGATTGACAACTCTACAGTCAGTACAGAAATGTAATATCAAACTCATTACATGGTAATGTGATTGACCTATGACTCTCCTCCCTTCTCTCAGAATGATTGAATTTCCTATCACTGTTGAACTCTTAATATTCGATTTTACAGTTATACGATGAAAATATTATCAAATTAATTCATGTCTCCTTGTATAAATACAGTATTAACTTAGTAGATACAAACAGGGTTTCTGTTCTTACTTGTAGGATAGACTGTGATGTTATATGATGTGATGGTAAAGGCTTCTGTCCTCCACATTGAGCACACACTTCCAGTTCCCTGCATTA